GGGATCCCCAACCAGAGGGCTGGACGCCCGGCAAAACGCCCAACCAACTCCACAGCGCTGAGAAGCCCCCCAAAATCCCGCCGGTCCCCCCCACCATGCGCCTTCCAGCATTCAACTCCCTCTCTGGGGAACAACACGGAGACGGGCACACACGACCACCGGTGACACGGCAGGACACCGCACAGTGTCACCCGCCCGGGGAGCTGGGATATGCCTCAGCTTTGACGCAAGCGGCTTTTTTTTTTTTTTTTTTAAACATGACCATCGCTTGGCCCCAGCACCGGCGCGCACTGGACCGTCACTTTGGGCAGCGCCTGTCCCCACCACCGCCGCGAGAGCGGCATCCCCTCTACAGGGAGGAAAAGCCCATCCCCACAGGAGGGCACAGGCTTGGAAACCTGCTGTTGTCCAGGGAGCCTCGCCAGGAGCAGGCACCGCTTTCTGACCGCCCAACTTTCTGCAAGGGAGACACGTGGCTTCCCGGTCTCCCTGGGGAGCCGGGGGTGCTGCGCTCCTGATCCCTGGCTGCCGGCGCCTGGCTTCAGCTCCCCGGGCTGCTGGACCGGGCAGGGGGCTGCGCACATAAACACCCCGGGGTGCTCGGCCAGCGGCTGCGGCAGAGCCCTGCGCTCGAGAGGCTCCTGGAGGGGTCGGATCGGCACTGACGGGGAGTCGCCCCCCCCAGCCACTCCAGCCTTGCCGTAGGGTGTCCCACACCTCCACCCCAACGACCTCCTCGCAGATGGAGCAGCCGCCACGGCGTCCTGTTGTGTCACCTCAGACTGACAGAAATCCTGGTGACAGCCCTCAGCTGGCCCTGGGAAACGCCACCGGGCCGGGAGCCCCTGCCTGGGGGTACAGGGGCAGCCCTCTCCCCAGGCACACGCGGGCCGCAGGGGGTCCCACGGGGCAGACGACAGCCGGCGCGCGGCAAGGCCGCACCTCGACACAAGCCTGCCAATGCCCTCCTTGGTCCCAAAGCGCTCAGGGCACGGGCAGCCGGCACCTGCCGGTCCCACTGCCGCAAGCCCGGGGTAAACCCCCGCGGGCCAGGCACCACCGTGCCAACCCTGGTCCAGGACAAGCCCAGGCTCCCGCAGCCCCAAACCCATCGCTGCTCCCCCCACCACGCTGACTCAAGCCCTCCCAGGACCACCAGCCTCCCTCGGAGCAGCTGCCCGCACACAAACCTGTTGCACAGCCAGCATTTAAAGCAATACATTAAAATGAAAGTTTGCCTTGCTGGCCAGGAAGAGGGAAACCAGGCAGCCACTGCCCGCAGGCCGGTGGCTGGGCCGCGGCCGGGACGGACGGCCAGGACTGCGCTGAGCCGCAGGGAAAGGAGCCGGAGGTGCAGAGGAAGGCCCAGGGAGAGGAGCTCAGCTGCGAACCCGCTGGCCCCTACCTGCTCCCCTCCACACAAGGGCCATTTCCCACCCCGCTGTGCCCCCAGAACCAGAGAACAGAGGGAAGCCCCCGTTCATCTCCCACCCTGCCAGGCTGGAAGGGGGCGGACAGGGCCCTGGGCACCCAGGGGTCCCCCTGCCTGGAGGCTGCTGGCCGTCACGTGGCTCAGAGGGACAGGCCGCTGCAGGCGGGCGCTCCCTGCCACCCGAGCAGCAGGCAGGGTGGAAGCCCAAGCTGGAAGGAAGAGCACGGCTCCCCCCACGGCTAGTCAGGGCTCCCGGCAGGGCACCCATCGCAGCACCCAAGGAGAACATCAGCCCGCAGCCAGGAGCGGGGCAGGGGGACTCCTGCCCAGGAGCCCTCAGCTGGGCTGGGCTCCCCTTGATGCAACTGGTGTAACTGGGGCCAGCTGGGCCAGCCAGTACTTAGTGCTGCTAACAGCCACCTGGGGTCAGAGCCCAGCCCCTCTCCCAGGAGGGTGCTAGCTCTGCATGCGGGGGTGGTGGCCCTGGCCCCTTTGCTGGAGGTGCCTGCGGAACAGCATAAAGCAGCCCCCCCCCAAGCCCTCCCACCTGTGGTGGCTTTTACTAATGACAGGGCACTGCTCTATTGGTCCCCATCCCAGTCCCTCCATCTTCTGGCTGGCCGCAAAGCTCTGCTCCAGCCCTGCCAGCGAACTGGTCCCCGGGGCTCGGACCTCTCCCAGAAAGAGGCCGCCCCCGTGCAGGCAGCTTTGCTTCCCTGCCCTTCATCCCTGCCCTGCAGAGGTAAGTGGTTCCAGCGTGCCGAGTCCTCTGGGACTTCAGGGGGGGTTCCCCGGGTCCGGCCCGTCCCAGGCACGGTGGCAGAGGACCCGGCGGCGTCCCCAGCGTGCGGGGCACTGGCTCCTACCTGCAGCACAGAGAGGCTGGTCTGCCCCGAGAGGCTGAGCTTCTCCTGCTCGGAGGGGTAGGCATTGAAGCGGTGCTCGTACAGCCAGTCCCGGAGGATCTTGACGGACTCCTTGGGGAGGTTGCCCCTTCTCTTCCTCTTGTTGGACTGCGAGGGGTCCGGGGAGGTGCCGCTGTCCTCCTCCCCGAGGTCGCTATCCGACATGGTGGAGCTGCCCGCAGAGCTCTCCTGGTGAAAGCCTGGCGAGGTGGAAACCAAAGAGCAGGCGTCAGGCGGCGTCGCGGCCGGGGAGCGGGGGGACCCCCCAGGCCCAGGCCCCCGCGGGGGCCGGCTGGCCCTGCCCGCCCGGCCGGGGGGG